TCGTAATATTACGAGAAAAAAGTCAGAATCTTGCATGACATATCCATTTTTGTTCCTGATTTTTTTTAACTCATTTACTCATCCCGCTGTGGACAGCCATGCGTGTCAGTGTGTTTATAAAGTAGCCCACGATGACTTTTGGGCCACCGTTAATGCTTTCATCCAAACTACGTGACGACTAAATCTGTCAATGCAGCCATYCACAAGGTTTCAGTTTGTCATATAGTCGTTTCAAAGTCCTGCTCCTAATTTGATGCTTATGAGMTAAAAGATTAGATAGCCTATTTCTTTTTCAGAACAACTTCACAGGTTGCTCAACATTTCTCATTTTAATACAGTGGTAAGACTACATTTTCATGTAAAGGTTCTCATAATGTTACGACTTTAATCTCATAATATTATGACTTTATTCTTGTAATAAAAAATTAACCTTGTGTAGCGTGCGTGTCATAAAACAAGAATGAGGAAATGAACCAAAGTAAATGAGTGAGCATACTTGTCCATCCTTTCAGTGTTTTGTCTCCAGTGGGTCATGTCCTTCCTCCATCTGAGGTTTTCTTGACTGCCGAAGGCACTGCCAGATGGACTCCGCTCTAAATGGTGGAGAAACGTAATTTATTTCACCTCACATTTATGCTGGCACTAGAAAACATCTAACTTTAGCTGCAGCTCTTATAAAAAAGATGTTCTCACCTGTATATATCTGTCACAACTTCAACTCTTCAATACAGGTCTCTCTAGTATATTTTTATGTGTCTGCATGTGACTCTACCTGCATTTGTACACGTGTCAGAACATGAGCCGAAGCGTGTGGCCCCACCTAGCTGTCCCCGACTGCGTCGCACCATTTCCTGCCTGGCCCCGATGCTGCCCAGTATGGCCTCCTCCAGCTTGGCCTTCATGTCTTTGGACTTCTTAAAGGTCAGGCTGTTCATGCGCTCAAACGCCTTCTTGCCCTGCATGGTGAACACAACATGGGCCTTGTATCCATGAAGGGGACGGTGAGCGGAAAGGACGAAAGAACATACAGCGGGGAGATTATTTGCAGCACAGCACCCAGCAAGCCAAGCAAGTCAGCAGAATGAAAGCAACGGTACACACACACAAAAGGCAGCAACCAGCAAAAAATGCAGCACAGCAGGGAGTTTTTGAAATTGAATAGGTGTACAAGTATAGAAAGCAGAAATTTAGCTACATAAATATATTATATCCTCACAGCAGCCAAAGCACAGATGCATTTGTTCCATATAAAAAGGAGAAAATGCAAAGCAACTATCACAAACAAACAATATCAAAAATTAAACCTCTGTTGAGTAAAAATAGTAGATGTGTATATGCTCCAGTTTTTTGTGCCGTTTTATTTATTTATTTTTTTAAACAAAATATCAAGAAGTGAGAACATCTAACAAAAACTCTACCTTGTACTCAAAGCAGGAGACACAGAGGTAGAGGAGGTCCAGCAGGCGGTTGAGCTGAGACACAGACAAGTCTGTAAACCACTTCTGCAGCACCAACTCATCGGCGTTCTTCAGAACCCACAGCAGACAGATCAGCAGGCTGCGGCTCGACTCTGCCGAGAAGCTCCCGTGCTGACGACTCGCCTGGCGTGATGAATCAGAGGGGATCACAGCAGAGAGAAAAAAAAAACACAGATTGAGGGGAAGAAAAGATGCTGCAGTACAGTCAGTGYAGGTTTGTCGGGATAACAAATGTTGCTTGAAGATACAAATAAATGATACAAGATCTGAATTAAGTAGTATTACATGTGGGGTTCCTCAGGGTTCTGTACTTGAACCGAAGTTGTTTATTTTATATGTAAATGATCTGGTAAATGTGTCAGGGTTGTTCAAATGTGTTTTATTTGCAGACGACACTACAATTTTTTGTTTTGATAAAAATATTGAATGGATGTTGGAAATGATGCAGATAGAATTTGCTTAAATACAAACCTGGTTTAAGCTTAATAAATTATCATTAAATTTAGATAAGACAAATTATGATATTTAGTAATAGAAAGAAAACAACTGATGTTCCATTTAGAATCGATGGTACTGAGATCTGTAGAGTCAGTGAGGTGAAGTTTTTGGGWGTCATCATAGATGAAAAGCTGACATGGAGACCTCATGTAAATCATGTAAGAACAAAATTAGCCAAATCTATTGCAGTATTGTATAAAGGAAAGGATTTATTTAATGATAAAGGTCTGTTTATATTATAYAATGCAATAATTGTTCCACACTTGATCTACTGCATTGATGTTTGGGGAAAGTCATGCAAAAACAATTACAAACCCAATTTTTGTTTTACAGAAAAGAGCTGTAAGAATTATCATCAGAAATCATCATTATCACCCATCAAATACATTGTACCATCAGTTGAAGTTAGTGAAATTATATGATTTGGTTAATTATTGTATTTTATCAGTTATGTATAGGGATGATAAAAACACATAACCTTCAAACATCCAATTACACTTTGTTAAAAGAGAGAGTTGTTATAATCTCAAAGGGATTTAAATGTTTGTTAAACCCAAATTTAGAACCAGTTTAAAAGGAACGGAGTACTTCAGTCCAGGGTATAAGATTATGGAATAATCTGGAAGATGACTTTAAAAATGCCAGATCAATGAGTATATTTAAGAGAATGATAAAGAATAATTTGCTGGAGAAATATGTAAATGTATGAATTGTTGTTCAAGGAGTTAAACCTTTGTATTTTTCTTTTTTTATATAAACTAAAGATTATTTTTGATTGAATTTATTTATTTGAGAAAAAGGGGCARRTATAATAAGATTTTTTTCTTCTTCTGCTACCTTTCATTTAATTTATGATTTGTATTTTTATTGTATGTTGAATTTATGTTGTTGTTTTTTTTTTAAAGAAATGAATAAACTAACTGAACTGAACTGAACTGAAGATAAACAGTYTTGGAAATTATTGTGATAAACAATAATATTGTTTGGAAATCATTTTAAACTGATATAAAGATACAATAATTATTGCTTATTGCGACAGACCTAAATACGTGCAAACCTGCGAGTTGAGCAAGAAGCTACTTGGTCGAGACATCGGCGATGCAGTGGAGGTGCCGGCTATGGCCATGGCAACAGTTTGACTGATCATGCTGTTCCCCTCCCCATCTGCTTCCTCTCCGCCGCTGCCCACTGCTGCGCCCTGTGGACCACCAGGCCGGCCCCAMTGGTTATGACACTCTAAAATTACAAAAAAAAAAGTTCAAAATTCATACCCAAGTGAATCTGAAAAATCTGAAGATAAAGAAAAATAAATCTATGATATAATTTATTTCAAGGGTAAGCAATTCTCAAATAACTCTAGCTGGTGGCTTCATATTAATAAAAAGTTAATTCAAATACAAAATCAGAAAGCCTGGGTTAGCATGTTAATAAGCAGAGGTTTACAGTAAATAAGTACATTTGCTTCATTACAGTACTTAAGTAGTTTTTTTTGAGGATTTGTACTTTTACCAATTATTTTTTTTATTGTAATTTTTACTTGTATGTGGTTACCTTCAAAACCTAAAAATTATGTACATATACTCAAACCTAGTTACATGTTACAAATTTAAATATGACTCAACTCATCATGAAAGAAGTTGTTTTACACTCTAAAAAATGAACTGTTGAATTTACTTAACCAAGTTAGGTCAACAGGCTCCACTAAACCAAGTTGAGTAAATGCAAAGCAGTTTACATACTTTCTTTAAAAGAAAACATGTACAATAGGTTTGCCTATTGTACATGTAGGGCCTCCCTTGAAAAAGAGATCTACGATCTCAACAGGACTTGCCTGCTTAAATAAATAAATAAATAAATAAATAAATAAATA